TCTTTAAAAAAATCATTTGGGGGCCCCGAGAAGGTTCTACTGTTTTAAAATAGACAGTTGGGACCCCCGAGAAGATTTCACGTTCCTAAAAAAACCATTTGGCGTCCCAGCGAAGGTTTTACGTTTTTAAAATAGGCAATTGGGACCCCGGGCAAGGTTTTACATTAAAAAAAAAAATACATTTGGGGCCCCCGAGAAGGTTTTACATTTTTAAAATAGACAGTTGGGACCCTCGAGAAGGTTTCACATTCGTAAACAAAATCATTTGGGGCCCTCGAGAAGGTTTTACATTTTTAAAGATAGCTGGGACCCCCAAGATTTCACATTCTTAAAAAAAACATTTGGCATCCCCGAGGAGGTTTTACATTTTTAAAATAGCCAGTTTGGACCCCCGAGAAGGTTTTACATTAAAAAAAAATACATTTGGGACCCCCGAGAAGGTTTACCATTTTTAAAATAGGCAGTTGGGGCCCTCAAGAAGGTCTCATCTTCTTAAAAAAAATCATTTGGGGCCCCCGAGAAAGTTTTACTGTTTTAAAATAGACAGTTGGGATCCCCGAGAAGATTTCACGTTCCTAAAAAAACCATTTGGCGTCCCAGCGAAGGTTTTCCGTTTTTAAAATAGGCAGTTGGGACCCCTGAGAAAGTTTTACATTAAAAAAATACATTTGGGGCCCCCGAGAAGGTTTACCATTTTTAAAATAGACAGTTGGGATTCCCGAGAAGATTTCACGTTCCTAAAAAAACCATTTGGCGTCCTAGCGAAGGTTTTACGTTTTTAAAATAGGCAGTTGGGACCCCGGACAAGGTTTTACATTTTTTAAAAAAATACATTTGGGGCCCCCAAGAAGGTTTTACATTTTTAAAATAGACAGTTGGAACCCTCGACAATGTTTTACATTCTTAAAAAAATATATTTAGGTCCCCCAGAAGGTTTCACATTTTTAAAAAATACAATTTGGGCTCCAGAGGTTTTACATTTTTTAAAAAGACAGTTGGGACCCCCGAGAATGTTTTACATTTAAAAACATACATTTGGTGCCCCCGAGAAGGTTTTACATTTTTAAAATAGACAGTTGGGGCCCTCGAGAAGGTTTCACATTCGTAAACAAAATCATTTGGGGCCCTCGAGAAGGTTTTACATTTTTAAAGATAGTTGGGACCCCCAAGATTTCACATTCTTAAAAAAAACATTTGGCGTCCTTGAGGAGGTTTTACATTTTTAAAATAGCCAGTTTGGACCCCCGAGAAGGTTTTATATTAAAAAAAAAATACATTTGGGGCCCCCGAGAAGGTTTACCATTTTTAAAATAGGCAGTTGGGGCCCTCGAGAAGGTCTCATCTTCTTAAAAAAATCATTTGGGACCCCCGAGAAGGTTTTACATTTTTTAAAGACAGTTGGGACCCCCGAGAAGATTTCACCTTCTTAAAAAAAACATTTGGCGTCCCAGCCAAGGTTTTACGTTTTTAAAATAGACAGTTGGGACCCCGGAGAACGTTTTACATTAAAAAAAAAATACGTTTGGGGCCCCCGAGAAGGTTTTACATTTTTAAAGTAGACAGATGGGACCCTCGAGAAGGTTTCACATTCGTAAAAAAAATAATTTGGGGCCCTCGAAAAGGTTTTACATTTTTAAAGATAGCTGGCACCCACAAGAAGATTTCACATTCTTAAAAAAAAAAAACATTTGGCGTCCCCGAGAAGGTTTCACATTCTTAAAAAAATACATTTTGGGTCCCCGACAAAGTTTTACATTTTTAAAATAGACAGTTGAGACCCCCAAGAAGGTTTTACATTTTTAAAAAAGACAATTGGGACCCCCGAGAGTGCAGTACTTGCTAAGATAAGACTGATTGTGGCAAATTATATACCCCTTACGAAAATAGAGGGCTGGTGGGCATAGCTACTATTTGTTAAAATAAGATTGATTTTGGTAAATGACTGAACAATATTAAGAGTAATCACTGGAATGAAGATAGGGTGAGGAGTACAAATGGAAAAAAGAGAACGAAAAAATTAAAAAATCTAGAATTAAAAAAATTGAAAAATTAAAAATCGAAAAACTGTAAATGGAAAAATTGAAAAATCCAAAAATTGAGAAAAAGGAAAATGATTAAATCAGAACATTGCAAAACCGCAAAATTGAAAAAATAAGGAAAATAAAAAACGAAACGGAAAATTGCACATCGAAAAATCCCAGAAATAAAAAAATTAAAAATTAAAGATTGAAAACTTCAGAAACTCAAACTGAAAAATCGCAAAAGCTAAAAATTGAAAAATTCAAAAAATGGAAAATAGAAAATGAAAAAATTTTTATCAAGAAAAAAGCCATAAAAACGGCAAAAAATCAACAAAAAAAAAACGAAAAATCTGATAAATAGGGATGAAAAATGTGAGAAAAAGAGCTCCCTAAAAATTCGCAAAAAAAAGAGTGTCAAGAAAACACCAAAAATGCGGCAACAATCATCAAAGAAACTATAAAAAAAGGGCATCAAAAAGCGAAAAAAGAGGGTCAAAAATAGGCGTCAAAAATGTGAATTAAAAGAAAAAAATCCAAACAATTCAAAAGAAAATAGATAAAAAACCAAAAGAAATAATCCAAAAACACAAGAAATGCAAGAAACTCAAGAAATTTAATAATCTAAAAATTTTAAAATAAGTTGAATCGAAAAACAACGTATTGATGAGGGTATTAAAAAATTGAAAATTTTCGAAAGTTGGCTAAAAATTCTCAAAAAATTCTGAGAAATACATTTCGATGAACTGATTCTAAAAAGATAATGTGTTAATGTCCCGGACCAAGATTTTCGAAAAATTCGGTTTGAAAATGAGGTTTATTTAAATCTGAAAAATTGGAAAATTTCGAAAAATCCGGAAAATCCGAAGAATCCGAAAGATGCAAGAAACCCATATTTTTAAAATAAGATTGATTTTGGTAAATGACTGAACAATATTAAGAGTAATCACTGGAATGAAGATAGAGTGAGGAGTACAAACAGAAAAAAGAAAACGAAAAAAATTAAAAAATTGCAGAAATGAAAAAATGAAAAATTAAAGATTCAAAACTCCAGAAACTCAAATTGAAAAATTACAAAAGCTAAAAATCGAAACATTCAAAAAGTGGAAAATAGAAAATTAAAAAATTTTTTACGAAGAAAAAAGCCATAAAAACGGCAAAAAAATCAACGAAAAAACCAAAAATCTGATAAATAGGGATGAAAAACGTGAGAGAAAGAGATCATTAAAAATTCGCAAAAAACGCCAAAAATTCTTTTTTTTTTTTAAGAGTGTAAAGAAAACGGCAAAAATGTATCAAAGAAAAAAAGGCTTCAAAAAGCGAAAAAAGGGGGTCAAAAATAGGCGTCAAAAAAAGGAAAAAAAAGATGACAAAAAATGTGAATTAAAAGAAAGGAGGAGAAAAAAGTGCCTAAAAATGTATGTCAGAAAAGAAAGGCAAAAAACGACAAGAAAAGACTAAAACATGTAAATATCCGTAAAATACGTATAAAATTTGACACATTCTGGCAGACAGACGGAAATGGGCGACCTATGTATTCATAGTCTAGGGATCCTAAAACGTAGAAAAAACATTGAAACAGCCATAGGCCGGAAGGACCCTATTACAATATTTCCTACGTTTACGCTCGGGAACTTGGCAAAAACACCCTCTTAAAAAATACAGGGCGGGTGGGCGGGGCTATCACTTGCCAAGATAAGACTGAACAATATTAAGAGTAATCACTGGAATGAAAATAGAGTGGGTGGGCGGGGCTATTTCTTGCTTATAAAAGATTCTGTATGAAAAGTTAAACTTAGCCCAGCCCACCCACCTGTTTGCTAATTTTTTTCTTCAGAAATAAGAAATATTATAGCAAGTAAGTAGTATAACAAAAAAATTACGATTAATGCTTTTTTTAACAACCTACGTTCTATTATTTCCCATTCTCACTTTACTCTAGGGGTCATGAAACGTCGAGAAAATATAAAAGTGGCCATTCGGGAAGTAAAAATACAACTTTGGTGTGAAACCTTTAAATGGAACACTTGCACACTTGAAAATAATGCTAAATTGCTTACTCCTATCAGACTGTTTCAAAGAATCATCACATCGATTGAACACCCTGTATATCTACTGAAAATTAAATCGGGAGAACATAGACCATAATCATATTTAGTTTTACTTGGCATTTTCTTCAACAAAATCTTGTTACTTTCCACTTAAAAATACTCGGTTGTCTGCGAGTTCAAACAACTTAATTTTTTCTTGCTGTTCCGCGATAACCGTAATTAACAAGGTAACGTTATTGAAACTTGATAAACTTGTATTTAGAGTTTGTGCAATACTTACTTACGCTACGAGTGTCGAAAATGAGGTATTGCACGACGAACGTGTATACAGCGAGACCGAAGGTCAAACGCCGTATTCAACTGAGCCTTGTTGTGCCATTTTCGGCCAAAGTACATACCTACATTGTTTTACACGAGAAAAATAAATAATAACCGTAACAAACATGCATCAAAGCAATAACTGTAGCGACATTTTATTTAATTAAAAAAAATATATCGTAAGTCATGGCCCCGGAAACCTAGTCTTGGTAGTAATAATCGATTTACAAGGTTAGTTACTTGAAGTTAATCTTAAATTAACAGGATTAACTTGGGTTTATCGATCAGTTATCGTGAATAAAATTTAGCTTCAAGCTATTTATTGTCGATGTTTTTCAGATCAAAAATACAACTACTATGCGTGAACACACCCTAATGTTTAATATTGAACCCACTTTTTCAATTTTCCGGAGTTTCTCAGGCTCCAACACCGGAAACAACTTTTTTAAGATCACTGACTCTGCAACACCACTTTATTTATATTTGTAATCTGCGGTTTTGCTCTTTTTGTACTCATTACTGAAGCCCGAAGCGAATAAAATCTTCTCGGTTATTATAACGCAACCAACGTATTTCAACAAAAAGAAAACTCTGACGCTGTTTTGTCTTGTAGGAGGGCAGTATAGGGTCGGACCTGGTCATCAGACCCATCCCGCCCCGATTACTCAAGAAGGAAAAGCCCACAGACGATGACGAAATGTTCTTGGATGCCGATGGTGAGCTCAGTTCGGAAGTTGCAATAGACACGGGGCTGCCCATTAAGAGGAAAAAGCAGCAAATACAAGGCCATCGACACATCGTGTACAAAAGGAACGGAAATCAAGAAGATACAATGAGCGATTACGGTAAGTTACGCTTGTTTGCATACCGAACACGGTTGCGTTGGGCCTTGAAAGTGCGCCGCTAAAAGCCGAAAATCCTATGAAATCGGAAAGAGAACAATCGGTTGCATGTGGGTAAAGTTAGTAGTTAAAGATCGCAGAATTGTGTTACTGAAACGAAAAAAATTGTTTAGCCTTCATGGAACCCGACCATCTGGCCAAAAGACACAAGCGTAACGTGCGTACGAAACGGACGAAACGGGAAGCCCCATATACCATCTACCCAGAAATTTTGGTCATCGTGGACTACGACGGGTATCGTCTCCATGGAGGCGACAACCTCCAAATCAAACGGTACTTCGTGTCGTTCTGGAACGGCGTGGACATGAGATACAAGTTACTCAAAGGACCAAAAATAAGGGTCTCGATCGCCGGGATTATCATCAGTAGAGTAAGTCACTTTATTTGTACTTTAACCTTAAAACCTACATCATCGTCTGTTTCGATCCCGATTTCCTGAAGGAGATGTTTCTTCGTCTTGGGGTAGTTCTCGAAGATCGCGTCTACCATCTCCGTACACATCTTCCTCCGCTTGTTGTACTCTTTCAACACAGCTCGGTACTCTCTCTCGATTTTGTCTTTAGCGGTTTTGTCGTAGGTGTCTTCAGGGTAAGCTTTCAGTTGCTCCCGGATTTGTTTGATCTCGTCTTCTAGATCTTGCTTCTTTTGTAGCAGCTGGTTTTTGGTTGGTTTTGCTTCAAACTGTCTCAACTGAGCTCTCTTTTTCTCTAGTTGGTCTTCGACGTCTTTGAGTTTGAGTGCTAGGCTCGAATTCTGGCGCTCGATTTCTAGCACGGTTGTCTCTTTGGAGGTACCAAGAGCCGAGGATTTTTGGGCCACGCAGTAGATTTTTTGCTTGCCGCAATTCTTCTCGATTACTCTATTCTGCTCGACGAGTTTATTGAGGGTTGTTACAATCTGGCTTTTGCCTAGCTTTTGGTTCAAACCTTGGAGGATGTCATTGGGTGTGAAGGGTCGGTTTTGGTCTGAGAGAAACTGGAGGACTTGATCTACGGCGCTGAAACAAAAATAGGTGTTAGATGATTAAGAGGGTGTTTTTGTAGGGCCGGGACGCCACCCCCTACTTGGAGCGCAACCGCGTGGGTCGCGACGCCATCGACTCCGCCGCCGCCCTCACCGACATGGGGAAGTACCTGTTCCGGGAGCGCCGCCTCCCCGTCTACGACATCGCCGTCGCTATTACAAAGTCAGTATACAAACCCCGCCCCCGCCCCGTCAAACCCGTTCTTAACCCCTCTGACCTAGGTACGACATGTGTCGACGTCGCAAAGGCGGGCGCTGCACCAAAGGAACCGCCGGTAAATTTCAACCCTTTCAGAATACTGTGCGTGTAAATTGCTGCTACTAACCCGGATCAATTACGACATCCAGGTCCGGACTAATCGTTCTAACTTACGTCAGACACGCAAACCCGTGACAGTTGTGGTGTTTAATTGTTTCTTAGGTATAGGCAGGAGCGCAGGAGTAAATAACCCAACAACAAGACACACATAATACACTAAGCCGATTATGACCGGGTCGTTTTTTTGCAGACTAGACATGTGCAGAAGGTCGTACCCCAACGATGTCTGCAATCGCGGCACGGCAGGTACGAATTCTCAGGCACGATCACTGTAGTTTCCGAGTTTCCCAAAAGATTGTAGTTCTTGTTGGCACGGAGAATTTCACCTGGGGTAGGATAAGTGGGGGCAAAGGTAGTACTTCCACTAGGCCGTTAAATCTAAATTCATAGCGCGCGCATCTCGAACACCACGGTACCACCTCGGGCGCCAATTTTCACAATCACCGACGCCCGAAACGCGTAACTTTGCCCCTCGCTGACCCCCCAACAACTGGCCCACCTCTTTTCACACTTCACACATACTATAACTGACTAATTCATTTAACAAACTAATTGTTTGTGGGGAGAGTTTTGTGTGGTGGACTACCACAGAACTGCTTGCAGCCTCTTCTGGTGACGGTACTCCCTCAATGTATTCTCTGTAATAACCAAACTTCCGCACAGGATTCGCCTACGTCGGAGGAGCTTGCGTTGTTAATAAGCGCCTCGAGAAGGTCAACTCCGTGGCTATCATCGAAGACACGGGTGGATTTAGCGGGATTATCGTAGCAGCCCACGAAGTAGGCCATCTGTAAGGTCCCCCACGTGCTGCGAAACCAGATTTGACCATTATGTTTCCAGATTAGGGGCAGTTCACGACGGAAGTCCTCCACCATCGTACCTCGGGGGACCCGGTGCCGAGAAATGCCAATGGACCGATGGGTACATCATGTCGGACCTTAGGCACACGGAAAGGGGCTTCCGGTGGTCGCCGTGCAGTGTCTCCAGCTTCCACCATTTCCTCAAGTAAGCGCTTGGGAAAAATTTAGGGACGGGTTTTTTTCTCTAGTATAAATCGTTATCTATGCAAAACATGTGTTTTAGAAAAACCAAGGAAATGGTTAATTAGTACCGACTAATTAATATTAATGCGGGTTGGTGTTAAGCAAACCAAAATTAATCTGGTCTGTTACATCAAACTAGGAAGAACAAGACACGGGTGTTTGTTCCGGATAAGTTTTGGTCTTTTGCTCGGTATATCAGATAATAATTTAGCTTTGCGTAATGCTGCTCATTAGAGTATAACATGTAGGTAGATGTGTGTGATTACTTCGAAGTGGTATTTCTGGGTTTGTATTTTGCGTATCGTGACCAAGTAAAAGGTTTAAAATTAACAGTGCACGCAATATCCTTAGTTAATTTCATCAAGATAGTTTACGTATTTGTAGAATACATAGCAGCTTTTGGGATAATTTAAAAATTTGACTTTGGATCAAATATTTCGAACAGGGAAAATAATCTTAATTATTAATATTTGCAAAATTTTGGTTCGTCAAGATCTCTACCTAAAGATGACTACGTATCTTAAGAAAAACGGACAAAATATAAACCCCGCCCACCCACCCTGTCTCAATTGTGACGATTTTGTTTATTCGTCGTACGTGAGGGGCGGAGTTTAATTGCAAACTCCCTATTTTTCTACGAAAAATTACCATGTGAAAAATGTCCTTAAGTAATCATGTTATTCAAAGAAAACTAAATGTATTAGTCAACAAAAAAAAACAAAATAGAAGCTCCACCCATCCGTCTCAATCACAATCGTGATGAATTTTTCATTAGTTGTCAGACTGAGGGGCGGAGCGTAATTGCAAAATCGATATTTCCCTATACAAATTTACCTTTTAAACATGTTTTGAGTTGCTCGTATTTTGCAGTTAAGCTCCGCCCCCTTGATTTACGGCGAATAAAAAAAATCATCACAATTGAGATGGGCGGGTGGGCGGGCTTTCATTTTGTCTTTTTGTTTTAATATGTGTAGACTCCGCCCCATAATTGAAAAATCCATATTTTCTTGCAAAAATGTACCAATTTAACAATGTTCTAAGTTTCTTGTTGTGAAAAGATGGATATATGTATATTAAGAAAAAAATGGCAAAATATAAATCCCGCCCACCTGCCCTATCTCAATTCTGATGATTTTTTTTATTCGTCGTAAGCCGAGGGGCGGAGTTTAATTGTAAAATCCTTATTTTTCTACAAGAAATTACCATGTAATCATGTTATTTTAAAGAAAACTAAATGTGTTAATTAAAAAGTAAAACCAAAAGAGAAGCTCCACCCATCCGTCTCGATCTCAATCGTGATGAATTGTTGATTCGTTCTCAGACCGAGAGGCGGAGCGTAATTGCAAAATATTTCCCTATAGAAATTTACCATTTTAAACATGTTTTAAGTTTCTTGTTGTAAAAGATTACTACACATATTAAGAAAACAAGGCAAAATGTAAGCCCCGCCCACCCGCCCAATCTCAATTGTGATGATTTTTTTTATTCGTCGTGAGTCAATGGGGCGGAGGTAAATAATCCCTATTTCTCTACAAGAAATAAAAAACATGCTTTTGAGTATCGTGTTATTCAAAGAATACTATGTATATTAAGAAAAAAACAAGCCAAAAATTAAGCCCCACCCATATCCATCCCAAGCTCAATTGTCAAGAATTTTTCATTCGTTGTCAGACCGAGGGGCGGAGCTTAATTGCAAAATCGACCACACATATTAAGAAAAAAAGAGGCAAAATGTAAGTTTTTGGGATATTTTAAAAATTCGAATTCGGACCCAAATATTTCGAAAAAAGAAAACAATTTTCCTCTGATGGGTGAAACATTACTCTGTTTTCCAAATCATCTGGTCTAAATCTATCTTTCAGTTTTTTGTTTTTTTTTTTCTTTGATTTTTGAATAACTTGGTCAAAGTCCAGTTTCTCAATATCTCCTCGTATGAAATTTTTTACTTTATCGAGCACCCTCTAAAATTCCACAAAGAGATTCTTTTGTTGATTTCGACCTCCAGAAGTCGTTTTGACTTTCATTTCTTGGAAAATTCCTACCATTTTATCAGAATCTCCAAAATTAAAAAGTATGGAAATTTAAAAAATTGATTTTGAAATCGAATGTTTGAGAAATTTTGGTTCCCGAATATAAATGTCCCATATTTTTCGATTCAGGTCGTCAAGATCTCTATCCCAGAATGTTTTATGGATTTTTAGGGAACTTCAGCAAAAGACTGATTATTAAATATGACATTTTGGACTTGTTACTAGGGACCTAAAATTACCTAAAAAAATTCTTACCTTTATTTCGACCTCTAGAAGTCGTTTTCGGGTTAATTTTTTGAAAATTCCTACCATTTTTCCGGAATCACCAAAATGAAATACATATATCAATTTTAGGGATATTATTTTAAAAATTTGGCTTTGGACCTGAATATTTCGAAAACCAGTTTTCCTCTCGACTTTGAAGATCATTTTCCCCTGATAGACGCCTCATTCCTGAGCCAACACGATTATTTAAAATTATTTTTGGACACCCAGTTTTTCCAAAGTTGTGCGAAACAAATCCTTATCAAAAATACTGCAATTACTCCGAAATTTTCGATATTCGCCTGTAACTTCGGTCCGGGATCATCAACACTCTGTTCTCGAGTCAGCTCGTCGAAATCTACCTCTCAGAATTTGTTATGAATTTTTACACAACTTCACCAAAGTTTTCGATACCCCAGTTTTTCGATTTAACCTTCTATCGGGCACTTTCCAAAATTTCCTAAGGAGATTCTTGTGTTGATTTCGATCCCTAGAAGTGGTTTTCACTTTTCAGTTTCATTTAGTGGAAAATTCCTTCCATTTTATCGGAATCTTCAAAACGAAAAAAATGGGAATTTCAAAACCGTAGCAGATAGTATAACAAAAAAAGTTACGACTACCGCTTTTCTTACATTTTTCACATCCCAGATTCTATTATGTACTAGTTTCCAGTCTCATTCGACAGAAGACCATAGTTAGCCCCGCCCACCCACCCTATCTCCTTTTCAGTGATTGATTTTATCCGATCTGAATGAAATGAATGATCTTATATTGAACAGAAATAAAATTAGTCGTTAGAATAAGGAGAGGGCGGGGGGTGGGCGGACCTAGTTTTGATAAGACTGATTTTGGCAAATGACATACCTTCTAAGAAAATAGAGGGTGGGTGGGCGGGGCTAGAATTGATAAGATAAGACCGATTTTGGTAAATAACATAGCCGCTAAGAAAATAAAGAGTGGGTGGGCGGGGCTAAAATTTGCTGAGATAGAACTGAACAATATTAAGAGTAGTCACTAGAATGACTGATTTTGGCACTTTTGACATTTTCGACCATTTTTCAACGATTTTCGAAATTTTCTTGTACATTTCGTATCCATGTCATTTTCGGCTTCGTTTCTTCCAAAATTTCCACCGTTTTTCGAAAATCGTTAATTGAAATATAGCAGTTTTTACAGGGGCTGGGCGGGCCTAGTTTTGATAAGACTGATTTTGGCAAAATCCAAATATTGAAAAATAAAAACTTTGAAAAATAGAAAAATGTAGAAAAAATTCCAAAATTCAGACATCTAAAATTTGAGAAATTGAAAAATTAAAAAATCGAGTAATCAAAAAGTCTAAAAATCGAAACCTCGGGAAAATGAGAAATTGAAAGGTCGGAAAATCAAATCGAGAAATTGGGAAATGGATAAATCGAAAATTTGGAAACGCCAAAAATTTATAAATCAAAAATTGAAGAATCAAAAAACTGAAAAATCCAGAAATCAACACACCAACAAATCGAAAAATTGAAAACTCAAAAATTCTAAAATTTAATCGTAAAATCCAAATATTGAAAAATAAAAATTTTGAAAAATAGAAAAATGTTGAAAAAATTCCAAAATTGAGACATCTAAAACTTGAGAAATTCAAAAATTAAAAAATCAAGTAATCGAAAAGTCGAAAAATCGAAACCTCCGAAAAATGAGAAATCGAAAAATCGGAAAATCAAATCGAGAAATTGGGAAAAGGATAAATCAAAAATTTAGAAACACCAAAAATTTAAAAATCGAAAAATTGAAGAATCCAAAAACTGAAAAATCCAGAAATCAACACACCAACAAATCGAAAAATTGAAAACTTAAAGAAATCTAATTTGCAAAGATTTGCCTTAATTTCCGTTGTTTATCTTTAATTTCACTTTATTTGCGACGTTTCGATGCTAAAATATCAATATCAAGTTCTCCATATTAAAAAAAATGATCACTTGGAATACCTCAATTTTCTTAGAAGGTATGTCATTTTCCAAAATCAGTCTTGACTTATTAGGTACTAGAAAAAGAAAATAGAGGGTGGGTGGGCGGGGCTAGTATTGACAAGATAAGACTGATTTTGGTAAATAACATAGCCGCTAAGAAAATAAAGGGTGGGTGGGCGGGGCTAAAATTTGCTAAGATAGAACTGAACAATATTAAGAATAGTCAGTAGAATGACTGATTTTGGCACTTTTGACATTTTCGACCATTTTTCAACGATTTTCGAAAATTACTTGAAGACATTTTCTTGTACATTTCGTATCCATAAGTCATTTTTGGCTTCGTTTCTTCGAAAATTCCCACCGTTTTTCGAAAATCGCTAATTGAAATATAGTAGTTTCGTCAAAATATAGATAAATAAGGAAATTATTATTAATTTTTGTTTCACAAAATACAATTGCTTAAATAATGTACTTTGCAGATTATATATATTTACAGAAATGTTTAAAATTTGGTTATTTGGGACAATAGAGAAGTCAGGACAGGTCAGATCACGTTAGGTCAAGTCAGGTCAGGTGAATAAGAAATAAATTTTATAGCAAATAGTCTAACAAAAAAATTACGAATACCGTGTTTTTTACTTTTTTCACACCCTAGATTATATTATTAGTTTCCACTTCCACTGTACAGAAAAACACAATTAGCTAGTACTTGC